AAATGACAGGTCATGAAATGCCGTGTCAGCTTGAAAAAATCCTGGAAGCAGCAAGAGCGGGTCTGGTTCTCCACAGAGATGATTCCAGAAACAACAAAGGACTTGTGTGGGGTCATTGGATTCTGCTTTCTCTAATATAGGAAAACTTCAACCCAAAGCAGTTTGGCTGCTCTAAATTGTCTGTCCTTGGGACACAATTTCTCAGTGTCCAGGGGACACTGTCAGGGGCCAAGAGTATGTTCTCTCCTTCCTGGCCTCAGCACAATGTTTCAAATGCCAGAAAAATCAGCGTTTTCCAGGAGGAAGATGTAGCTTGGGAGCACCTAAAGCCAGCAGGTCCAGGTGAACGGAAGGCAGCTGGGACTGGGCTGTTGCAAGAGTGTGAACTTCGCTGACCCCAAAAAGCCCAGTGCGTCAGGCCGGGCAGGCGAGCAGTAGTTGTGAGACAGCAACTGCACAGAGATAAAGGGGAGCCAAGCAGAAGTTATCACTCTCAGGTCGAAGCACAGAACTTCCTTGACCTTCCAGCAAAAGCTGGCCCTGCCCTCCCTTGTCCTGGAGCTTTTGGACAGACTCCAAAAGCCAGGCATTAACTCCACAGTTTACAGTGTTTCGTAAATCCCAGGATCTGAAAGGTTAAGCTAAGAGTATTAGACACATCTGTTCCATCTGTTCCACCTCTTGCCATGCTGGGAAAGGGTTAGAGCCCAAACGCACCTGTGTACGCATCAACATACAAAACCCAGAGTCGGTCTTCTGCCTGCATTTCTCAGAACCCATATTGAGAGGCTGAAGAGCAGTTCAGGTCAACCTCGAACTTGAACCAAGGCTTGTGTGCAGTAGTGATATCAAGGTGATGTCTACTAAGAATAACTCAGTGACAGTAGGAACAAAAGACCAGAAATACAGATTAGAAGTGGGGCACCAGTTAGGACACATCAGTCTTCCATTCCTTTAGTTATCCGGTTACCAAACATCACCTAAGTCCCAGGAATTGGGCTAGGCTCTGAGAATGAAGTGTAGAATTATTTGGAAGAGTAGAACAGACAGCGGCCTAGGCAGATCAGGTGAGACTAGTTAGTGAGCATGTGTGGCAACAAGTCTGAAGGGAAGAGCTGAAAGCCTGGACAAGGGCCATGGCACTCGAGGCAGAGAGGAGATAGATGGGACTGTCTATAAACAAGTGTTACACATAAATGATTAGTGTATCTTTAGTTGCAAAAGCCATCTATTTAATTCAAACCTTAAACAGACAAAATATAAGTTAAAAAGTAAAGTCCCTCCTCCACGTGGAACCCACTGGTGATGGCAGGAAGCAATGTTGTAGGGAGGACTTCTGTCTCGGGTGTGAATGAGGTGGATGATCTGACTCACTAGGCAGGATCTGTTCTCAGACACAGTGTTGAGTTTTGCTTTGTAGAAGCTTTATTAGAACAGAATTCCTATACCACACAGTTCAACAGTTTTTAGTGTATTTGTTACTGGAAAAGTCCCCTGGCCTCAATCCCAATTTATAATTCACAAGTAACGAGAACAGGTTTGGAGGTCAGGGAAATAAAGCTTATTATTCATCAGACGAAGAGGAGGACAGGGAGAGTCAACCTCTCAAAGCACTGTCGTCCCCCTTCTGAGAGAACATGTCCACCTTTTAATGGGGAGGTCAGGGCTCAGCTTGACTGGGTGATTATCTGTGTGTCCACCATGGCTGGTGGCCTTGGTTCTCCAGTGGTCCGGCGCCACTTCTCTGAAGCTGTATGTCTTGGCTGGCAGGTTTACTGCTCCGGTGGAAAGAGACAGATAAGGGGTAGAGAGCTGCTTGGTCTAATTGCACCACTGTTGTTGGGTGGACCCCAAACCAATCCAATTGGCATAAAACTTCATGTGACAATAGAGGCAAAATGGGGTAACACATGAAGAAAAACCGACAGCCAAGACAGTCAATTGCCCAGAGGGTAATAAAAATGTCCAAGTTCAGCTAGTGTTCTGACTCTTAAAAATAAGCAGAAGTTACAAAGGAGTTACAATTTAATCCTTTTGATGCTATCTAGGATGTGAGATACCTACTTCAATTCACTTCATAGCTAATCCAGGAACATTTTTTTTTTGATTTTTTGTTTTGTTTTGGCAGAACTGAGGTTTGAACTCAGGGCCTCACACTTGCTAGGCAGTTGCTCTTATCACTTGAGCTACTCCACCAGCCCTCAGAACATTTTGTAAAAGAACTAAAATTTAAAGCTTTATAGTTAAATACACAATGGTAAAAACTGAAATATTTCCACAGGACCCTAAACAAGGCACAATTTATTTTGAAACGCGTATGAGCTCATCAACTCCAGTTCATACCTCTTTATTCTCCAGTCTTGAACACTCTATTCTTTTTGTTTGTTTGTTTTTTTGGTGGTACTGGAGTTTGAACTCTGGGCCTCAGGCTTGCTAGCAGGTACTCTACACATGTGAGCCACTCCGTCAGCCATTTTGGCCTTGAATAATTTTGAGATAGGTTCTCTTTAACTATTTTCCTGGGCAGGCTTTGAACAGAGATCCTTTTGATCTCTGCCTCCTGAGTAGCTAGGATTACAGGAGTGAGCCACCACCACCCAACTTGAGCACTTTAAATAGCACATCTGGAGCAATGTAAGGGAGAGGAACGGAAGTAAGAGAATGCACAGTGGATGAAGGGGAGATGGGAGGGAGGCCTGACATTGCCTTGCTGGGGACCTGCCCTACCTTGTCAACTTGGCAGGAGCCCAAAGGAGAGAAACATATATACTGGGATTCCACAGTATAGTTGTCTGTGGTTTATAGCTGTCTGTACCTCTCTCAGTTTCTCATGGGAATATTATTTCGGTTCATTTTTTTTCTTTTTTTGGTGCTAAGGATCCAACTCAGGACCTTGCATATGCTAGGAGAGCTCTCTACCTACCATGAGTTACATCTTGATCCACCAATTTCCATGCCTCGGATCTCCCCAAGGGCCTGTATTCACCTGCGTCTCTGTACATGCCTGCCCTTGGTGTGCGTGAGTAAGCATATAAACCTCCTGAGATTCTTTCAATCAAGGTAAATGCATTTGGAGCTTCACAGGTTTAAGTGGAAAGCAGAGCTCTGCTGTTGCAAAATGAGAATTACTCTGTGAGTATGAGGACAAATGACAGGACTCACATAGACACTTGAAACAGAGATTGCTTCACAGAGAGGACTCAAAAATGCCAGTTAATAAAAAATGATAGTAAGGCTGGGTATAGTAGTTGTACATGCTTGTAATCCCAGCACCTGGGAGGCTGAGGCAGGAGGATTTGGGGGTTACAGGCCATTGAGCTACATAGCAAGTTTGAGGCCAGGCTGGGCTACATACCAAGGCCTTGTCTCAGACACAAGCAAACAACAAAATAAATAAAAATGATAACATCACATATAAATGTAGACACACACATTCTAATTACTATATTCATCTAACATTTCATTTATACAAGAGCAATGATACATCGATAATAAAGTTACTGTTGTAATCGCTATATCAATGACATTCCTAAATGAATACTTTCAGCAAACAAATCAAAAAACAAAGAACTAGCCAACTGGGCATAATTCTATAACTTGAATATAATCACTTAAAATCCTCAAGCATCTCACAGATTTCATGTCTCCAGTATGGTAACATGGTTGACAGTCTCCATCTGCAGACTACAGAGTGCCCCAGTTGGAATTACTCTTTCCTTGGATAATCCCTTTAGTATCTGGGCATTTCCCAGGCATTTCCTGTGGACATCCTTCATGCGTAAGCATCAAAAAGCAGCATGGAGGTCATAAGACTTATTTGTCTCGTTAGCTGCTGACCTATGCATGGTTGAACAGGCAGGACAACACATACTCGCCAGAGCCCACTGACTTCTAATCTCTGTGGAAGCATCAAAACACAGAGGTGTTGATGTCAAAGACCTCCCGTCGGGTCCACAGCAAGAGGCATGACTGTGTCCAGACATGTACTTATTGAAACCAGAATACAGAATGCCAGAAAGCAGAATACAGAAAGCGATCCAGCCACTTTCCCCACCCAAGCCCAACACCTAACTCTAACTTACAATGACAAAAAAGCCAAAGGGTGACCTGAGGGAACTGCTCAGTGTAAAGCACGTGTCTAACATTTAGGAGGCCCTGCATTTGATCTCCTGCACCACAAGGGGCTAAGAAAGGCAGAGAGCGATAAGCAAGGCATTGATCATAAAACTCCATGCTCTGTAATAATGACAAAAATTCCCGTTCTAATGTGTTCAATTATTTCTGGAGAACGCCATTACTGACCACTCACCAATGTGCCAGGGGAAACGTGCACGGTTATAGCTCACTACGAGGCTGCTTACGGTCTAATACATCTTTCTGTGTTTAAAAGGAAAAGGCGTGAGTAGCAGAAATGCATAAGGCAGTCACAAGTAGAATGAGAGGACTGAATCGACCCTTCAGAGTACCCATGAGGAAATGAGCACAGCCATGTCGGAATTCCTCACGGCTCATCCCTTAGCAGCTAATTTCTTCAAAAGTCAGGTGCCAGAGTTCTCCAGTCTCCAAATCCGTGCTTTGATGAATTAGGAAAGCAGCATTTCCTTAGAAGAGCAAATAAATTGTTTTTGCCCTTGAATAGGGAATTCTCAGAACTTTAGAACCTTCAAAGCTGAGAGTCTCTTGGGAATGACGCTTTAAAACTGAGAACAGGCAGTAGTAATGTCCTTCACAGTGCACGGGTGTTTACGTTGCTGGTGATCTCCCGGCATGCAAGGTGTGGAGTCTCCTAGAGATCCTGTCAGTTACCCTCTTTCACTGGGTACTCAATTAAGACATGAAGAAGCACCAAGACCTACTCCCTTACCTCAAGTCACACGGACAGCTTGGATCTGAATGGTTGACACATTAAGTAATTCTGCTAAATAATCAAAGCTTCTAACATTAAAGACAGTTATACACTAAACAGACAGGCAAACATGGAGGTGTATTTTAAAGCCAGATATATTTTAAAAAGATCATGCTTACAATAAGTAAATTACATAGTGAAGAAACATCAATAAAGTTGATGAATAGAAAAGGCACATTTGAAAATGTAAGAGTAGAAAGTACAGTTCTTTTTGTTTTGTTCTAATGTAGAAGAAAATAGAAACAGACATATTAAAATTATTGTTTCGGGTGAAAGTTTCTGTCAGTTGAAGTGATTAACACTGGCTTCTTTTCTCCTTGGTCCAGGCAGTTTTTTCTTCCTGGGCTTCTGAGAGGTATTTAGTCTTCTGCTAAGTAGAAGCGATACATCAGGGCTACAGCCAGTGCGGAGATGGCTGGGATCACCCAGTTGGTCCACCAACTAGAAAGAAACAGGACAATGATGCTTGCATGACGTGCAATGCAGGGAACTCAAAATCTTTGCTCCTTTTGATAGAACTACCATGGCATGTCTTCCTTACCTCTACAACCAATCTAGCTAAAAGGACAACTCAGCTTTGCTGGAAGTGATATGAGCACAACATGTGCCCCAGAATTCTGGCATTTGTGCTCCCCTGCTGGTGCCATCCCCCAGCTCTGCTTCAGTCATTTCCACAAACTTTATACAGAGATAAGTGTTAATACCTCTCCCAACACACATGGGACCAGTGACATTCCTACTGACATTAAATTCTGGGATACCTATCACAAGGTAACAGAAATGAAAACTCCTGACAAGTTTAACGCTAGTCCCCTGTGTTAAGAATTTCAAACAGCACTAAATTGAGAATTGGAAGACCACGGTTCTCATTTTGAGCTAGCTATCAGCAAGCTCCAGAGCCAAGGGCAGAGGTCCCCTGAGGCACAAAGTTGAGGGGGAGAGGGAGGTCCTCAATGCTGGGAGACTAGGCGTGCCACCTACACCATCTCTAACATTCTGAGATTTCACTTTGAAAAACCAACCTTGACACCTGTGTTTGATGCATTTAAACTGTTTTAAAAAAACAGCACCCCAAAGCGTGGTTTACTCACCTAAATTCACAAAAATGTGTAATTTATACAGTGTTTCATCTTGATGCATAAAATTTCAATCAACTATAAATTACAGATTTATAGGCCAAATCAGGAACACAGCTGGGAAGAGCTTCAATGTAGATTTGAATTTTAAAATCAGAGTTGAATCCTCAATTTAATTTCCATTTCTTAGAAAGCAAATTAATGTATATGCTTTATAATTCAAATAAAGTATGGATACATATATTTTGTACCATAAACTTTCTATTGTTTAATATTCTTCATTTATCAACTCATTCAAAGATCAAGTTCAATGTAAAGGTTTAAAGTATTAAGGGATTACAAGTATAATTTTTGCCTCAGTGGGGCTTGTTGGGGATTTTCAGTTTCCATTTAGAAAGAAGCCAGACTATCAGCAAAGAATAAAGTGAGGAAGTACTGCCAGCAGGCAGGAATGTTCAGAACACCAAAACACTGGGACAGTTGAATTTGACAGGCTAAATACAAATAAATGTGTGGTTTTGAGTTAGGTCCAAAGCATAAAAAAAGGCTATTATATAATATGTAAGTCAATGTGGTAGAGCTGCCACAAACGTTAATATAAGCTTAGACTGTAACAAAGAAATCTAGTCCTCATAGTACTCATGGATTACTGAGTTCAACTTCAGGGCCAATTTAGCAGGAAAGGAAAACTGAGCCATGCTTAGGGGATGGTAACCACCACAGTTTAGGAAGCTGACCTTGTACCTAGGAGGAAGGAAAGGGAATGTCTGCTTGGTGCAATGGCCATGGGACTGATAGCCTGAAGGGGCCTGGGGGAAAAGAAGATTTGACTTGTGCTGGATGTTCTTTGGGGCAGAAGCAGCCCTAGGCAAGGTCACTGTGGATAGTGCTGGCAGTTGGAGGTGACAGTTCAGCACAGAAAGTGCTGAAGGTTGGGTGCTTGATCATGACCAGGATGGGAGCTGAAGAGAAGCATGGTGGGAGCCAAGCGTGGAGGTTGAGTGTGGAGGCCAAGGTCACAAATCTGACTTTCGAGCCCTCCAGCCCAAAACTGTGTTAACAGACAGTCCCCACATACCTGGAATTGGACTCGACGGTGGTAATGAGAGGTTCCTGGAACAGAGAGAAAGCACAAAGTAAGCTAAGGTGAAATCTTCCTCCATGGACTAAAACCTGTTTAAAACAAGATCACAGCACTGTATCCAATGCTCTCTTCACAAGCTGTGAAAGGGAGAATTCCATCAGGAAGTTCTTTTCACTCAAAAGCCTAATTTCACCATTTTTTCCCAAATATAAAATATTAAGATCTAGACTTAAATTACTTTATAACATGACCTTGATGATTTGGAAAATGTTAAAAATACTCTACATAAAATATCTTGCATGTAATACTTCAACAGAGAAACTTAAAACAGATGCCAGGGACACATATATAGAACCCCACTATTGTCTTTTAGAAAGAGCAGTTTAATTCATGAAATGTGCAATAAAAATACCAATTACTTCATTTAAATCTAACAGGATGTAAAAGTATACCTAAACTACATTAAGGACATGTCAACCAGAAAGAAAAACTAAGAGCTGTCAACTCACATTCTAACTTCTGAGCCACCTTTCCTGAGCCTCCTTTAACTCTCATCAAATGGTGCCTACAAGACCCTGACTAACCCTGAGGACTGCTCTGCCTGACCAACAAAAAGGAAGCCGTTTTTACTTCCAGCCCTTTCTGAGAACAGCCCTTCTTGTGAGGCCCAGAAAGTGAATAGACGATGTCTCTGGAAAAATGCATACTTTCCCAAACAGCTGACAAACTAAGGCCTGGAGACACATAAAACTGCTAGGCTGAACACATGTTAAGAAGCATTCTTTTACATTTGCACACCAGCAAAAGTATTAGTACTTCAAACAAAAGTAGCTACAGATGAGGCAGCTGCTGCAGTCCTCTGCCTGCAGTTTCTCACAGCACAGATAGAAAAGCACCAGCAACAGTGAGCTGTTTGCAGTGAGGCAAAGCTTCACTCCAGCAGAGCACAGGCAAATTAAAGACTCCAGCAAAAGGGCAGCAAGCTTTAGGGAAGCGTGGGCGAGGCAGTTAGGAGACACACCAACCTTGACATACCGCCTTTAAGAGTCCTGACACAGTAGGGGAAAAAAATAAGTCATTTAAAAAGAACACGTCACATTTATTACCTACTAAAGCAAACTTAGTGTCTATAAAAGGTATTAATAGCTACTGCAAGATTATTTTTCAATTTTGTAAATATGAAGAAAATTAACAAAGATTACTAGGAATAATTGAAATATGCAAACAACGTTATTTAGCTATTAGAAGAAAAACATAATCAATTCTGAAGACAGAGCTTACTGAAGGTAAAATATTACTGTCACAATGGAAAGTGAGGGTAACAGTCAAAAGAAGGCAAACACCAACACCCATTACTTTGTCATGCTGGGCACATGCATTTTACCAGACATGCTGGCACCTCAGGTGCACCCTGAGTCCAGCCTTTCCGTCCTCTGCCTCCACAGTCGTTATGAGTGCTAATGTTAATACACTGCTATAAAATTAAAACCCTGCTATAATGTTAAAATGTGCAAGCACATCATCACTACCAGCACTTAAACCACCCAGCTTTTCTGACTGTTTACTATCTTCTCAGCTCCATAACCCAGGATGCTTGAGAGTTAAAGCAAGTTAGAGTTTACCACTTGGCACCTGGATGAAAAAGCAAATTGTCTTTAGTGGCCAGTGCTCTGACGGGCTTTTGCTGGATTTAGAGATGGAATTGTCAAACACATCAACAATGAACAGAGAAAAAACCCTAGCTTTTACAACAAGCTCTGCCACCTGTTTACTCTACAACTTAAAAAAAAAAAAAAGTTAATGATTACATTGGTGTAAATTATGCATGATAACTTATAAAAGCCATGTAAATCTGTATAAAGTATGATAAACTCCACACAAATATATGCAAAGCCCAATAAGCTTTTGCAAATCAGGGCTGTCTCATTTTTAAGTTGATGTTGGTTCACTCTTACTTGAAGACTTTTTCCCAAAAGTACTGACAGTGATGCACTGTCAGTTGTCCAGGGTCAACAAACAATAAAAGACCACAACTGGCAAGCCACAGATGGGTGCTGAACTCAGTTCTGGCTATATGTCCTTGAACAAAGTATTTAACAGGGCTGTACTATCTTCATGTACTTGGCAGGCCTGTGGATCTCACAAGGACACTCTGAGAGCCAGATAAAAATTTACTTTGAAAATTATAACCAAGAAAGGGTACTGCTATTACTAATACCTGCTACATTAGCAAATCTGATATGTTTAATTAAAATGTGTAATTCCTATTCTACAATTTTTTTTTTTTGTAGTACTATGGCTTGAACTCAGAGTCTACACCTTGAGCCACTTCACCAGCCTTTTTTGTGAAGGGTTTTTTCGAGATAGGGTCTTGTGAACTATTTTCCTGGACTGGCTTTGAACTGCAATCCTCCTGATCGTAATCTGTAATCTAATCTGTAATTTACTGTAGTCCTGAGTAGCTAGGATTACAGGCGTGAGCCACCAGTGCCCTACTTACAAATATCTTAATTTGGCAAATCATGCTTCCTTTGGGCAGTTCAAGCTAATAATTTTTAGTGCATTTTATTTCACAACTGAATTAAATATTTTAAGCAGGCAACTCTTTTTTTTTTTTTTTGTCTTTTCAGTGCTAGGGATTGAACCCAGGGCCTTTCACACAATAGGCAAGTTCTATACCACTGAACTACAACCTAAGCCTCAAGAATGCAACATTAAAAAAAAAAAAAAAATCAGACCAGCTTTGAGATAGATGGTGATATAGACACACAGTTAAGAAATAGCTAAGGACCCAAGGATCCGCTTTAGCTCTGGTAAACTGTGTGCACAGGGAAGACAGACCTAGAAAAGTGGTCAAGCATTTTCTTTCATTTTGTATGCTTATGGCTCTCAACTACTAAACTCTTGCCCCACACCTTCCTCCAGTCTGCTCTAACTTAAGCAAAGCCACAATAGAGAAAATGGGCTTTATTCTTTACAATAAAATACTCAAGAATTGGTCCATCTGTAAAATCTCTGAAGAGAGTAAAAATACTCATTTTTAAAGATTAGTATGTTTCAGACTCCAGTGACATCTTCTATACCCAGCAAGCTGATCAAGCACCAACTTTGTGATGAAACAAAGGCAAAGATTTTAACACAAAGAGCCGCTCACTCTAGCATAATGTTGGCAGAAACACTTCATCTGATGTTGAAAGCTTGATTCCCAGAATTCAGCATGTACACTTGCTCAGTCCCCTAAATATTCCAAGTGTCAACGTGACCGGCATGCTAAAATACAAAACGAAACTAAACGGGACTGCAAACAGTAAAGCTATCAGTACCACACAGAGCCCAACACACATGTTCTAAAAGTGAATGAAGAAGGACCTAGACCTCACTCCAGACTTGATGGCCTCTGACTGAGTGCCACACTTAGAGACTTGGTTGGCCTGCCGTGGACTTAAATGTGGGTAATGAGCCTCCTCAAAGCCTTGTTCTCCCTGGAGCTGAACAACACATGCCAAGATTCTTAGCATCCTAAACATCTCATAGGAAAAAAAGTAGACTTTTTCCCTGACAGACTTCAGAAATAAAGCAAAAACTCTGTGCATCAGATTTTCACTGTGCAAAAGGTAGTCTCCAAGCAGACGCTCCCTGGTGGAATGAATTTACGGCAAGGATTCTAAGCAATTGTTACAAATGCCACTCAAATTCTGAAGCTCATTTCTTATCTTCCTGAAGCACTCGCATCGCCAGCACTGAACTTAAGCTTCTTTTAGAACAAGAAAAGGGGAAATAGAAAAGAAATTGCTTCGTACTGAACAGCACTGAGAGCTGAAGCACATGGGGCCTTTACGCTCACACTAGTGAGTTAATTACTTTGTACTAGAGATTAAAGACAAGGTCCTGGTCCTGTCAGCAAAGCCAGTGAAATGGGTTCTCCAGTTCTCCAGTTCTCCCTACAAGCTCAGACTCTTGCTGTTTGTGCTTTCTGCATTAAAACCAAAAGCATATACCAAAATGAAACGCTATACTTTCTGTCATTTGAAGCAGAACTTTTCCCCATATATTACAGGCCAGGAATTAAATTTTGCCTACTTGTACTTTTTAGGAACTTTGGCTGCTCTCATAAATTCTGACTCAAGATTTATCTGCAAATGTCAGTGAGGTCAACTAAAAAGGAGAGGGCTGGTGAACCAGCCTGTGAAACAAGTGCATTTACTGAACACATACTTTGTCCCTGAGGTATGGAGAGGAAGTAGACATGGCCAGTGTCCTCAAAGATTTAGATTAAAATGCTTCAACTCATTCAGGTTTTAAGTTCTACAAAAATAAAGCTGGTGCCAAATTTTTCAGATCAGAAGCACAGTGCTTTTTTGGTTTTTGCAGTGGTAAGGATTGAGCCCGGGGTATTACACATTCTACACAAGCACTCCACCACTGACTGAACTACACCCCAGACCTCAAAAGGTATTAATAGATCATCATGACAAAAAAGCAGGTCAAATACTAAGAGTTGCACAAACATAATACAAGCACTCCTCACAAAAATATCAACAGGTTCATACAAATAAGAACTTTTGCCAAGCCAACAGGCTTCTATCTAAGCTTTCTGTCTAAAAAAGCCTGTGAAGCTTCAGTCAGGTACATGGAAGACTTTCACTCTTGGTTTCACAGGTGTTAGGTTTAATGAAGATAACTCCATCCACCAAAACATTTGAGATGTCACACTTACCGAGGGAGGGGCTAATTTTGATCTGTCATCCTACAAAAAGAAGAAAAACGGAACATTAGGAATAATAAAACATCTACAATAAGTACCATTTCTAAGGTGCTTACTTTGAAGCCTTTTTTAAAATTACTATTCGGTAATTAGCATTTCGGGTTCAGCTCTTAATACAAAATTTGATCTATCTGGCTTGGCAGCAAAAATTAGCAGCAGATTTAGTGACAAAAGGTATTTTCTGTATACAGTTCCAAGTTCAGAATGGTATTCTTGACAGTCATAGTTATACATTGACATTTATAGACACTTTCTAGATTCAGACTGTGGCCTTTAATACAGGGAGCAGCTGAAGGTCTAATTCTTCCCTTCCTTCTTCTAAATTCCCTGAGATGTATACCAGTCTCTAACTTACAGGCCATGTTCAGTGAATGCCTGCAATCTCCCAACTATAGGGTCACAAACTATTTAAATCTTAAGCCACATGTGTCAAAAACCAAGGACATCCAAAAAGGCTAACCACAGGAAAATCTAGCAGGCAGGTGAAGTAGAAACTTGGCAGTTAGGGGATGGGGGGAAGGAGGGAGAAATGACCCAAACAGTGTATGCACATATGAATAAAATAAAGTAAAATAAAAAAAGAAACTTTGCAGTTGTGGCCTAAAACCCACCGTCCCCACCCCCACAGGCACTGGACTGGACTGGACTGGAATGGAATGGATGGCATGGAATATTTTAAAGGCAGCCTCTTTGACTACCATAAAACTATTCCAATTCTGGAAAGTATGAAGGTAAAAATATGTAGGCAAAGAAGCTTCCCAAATGAGTAAAGCACACTCCCTCAAAGTACACATGTCCTACTACCAAAGAACAAGACCACAGAACAGAATCCTCCCCACTCAATGGAAGCTGGTCTAAAAAATGAATTTCTAGATCCTCTACAAAGAGCCTAATGGAACCTTTCTTTCATTCACGGTCATTACAAGAAACATCACTTAAATAGAATAAAGTTTTACAAATATAGAGAGAATACATCCTCTCTCGCTCTCTCTTCTCCTCCTTCCCTCCCTTCTTCTTCTCTCTCTCTCTCTATGCATAAATATATATTTAATATATTTATATTTACATTAATATACTTATATATATTTAATATATTTATATACATAAATATTTATATATATAAATATATATTTGGTTAAGCTTTCAGCTCTTAAATACAAAATTTGATCTATCTGGCTTGGCAGCAAAAATTAGCAGCAGATTTAGTGACAAAAGGTATTTTCTACCTACTGTTCCAAAGTTCAGAATGTTATCCATGACAGTCATAGTTATACATTGATGTCTATAGACAATTTATGTGTGTGTGTGTGTGTATATATATACACACACACACAAATATATATACACACAGTTTGCACACTTGAGATGAGGCCATTGGCAGATATTTGTCTCCCATTAGGGAAAATTCTGCTCCTGGCCACTCTTTCACCCTCTGGCTGGCACATGTAATGCACCAGGAGCCAGGGAAGCAGAAAGGGGCCAGGTGCTCCCTGGGGAATAGAAACAGATTGATGCATAGTCTGGGATCAGCCTTCTATTCTGAAACCCAGAAAACTCATAGCCCTTCTCTCCCATCTTCACCTATGCTCTCAATTAACTTAGGTGACAGACTGGTGCAGTTCCATGCAGTCATTTAAACCTGCCCTAAGGCCTAAGTTCATATCACAGCCCTGTGTTCACATAAAAACCAAACACAGCCAGTGTTTTCCAAAAGTCAGCCAAAGCTAATATTCTCAAAGGTCTGGGGCAAAGTGGGCAGAAAGAGAACAAAGTGTTGCTTTACTTACATAAGGCAGAGACTATTCATTTAATCAGCTCTGTCTATAAAATCCTTTTTTAGAATTAAAATATCCTCAGACTAATGAAAGTACAGTACCCTCAAACAAATGGTCAAAAAAAAAAACGGAAAGAAAGCTATGCTGGGTTGACCTCACCACCTGTGACCTCTGGAACACTGAGAAGTGCTCCTCAGGTCAGGACCTTGGGCTAGAGCATCAGCTGAGTGCTGGCAAAAAATGCAGCCAGTGCAGTGCAAAGAAACTCCAGGCCAACTAATTTATGGCAAAAATGGTGTTCTAAAGTCAAGAGTTGTTTTTGCTTTGCTCCTTTTTAAATTAGTATAGATGCAAATGTAGACTTGGTAAGGTCAACCAACAGCCTTAAAGAGAAATAAGCAACCTCCCCCCAAAAATGCACTCACTGGATGCAGCTCCCCAATGATGAATGTCTTGGACAGTTCCCTGGCATCGGTAGAGTGGCCGACATCCTCGAAGTTCTCAGTGGCATCACCCCCTGCTTGTTCCCTTAGGACTTCTTCCCCACCGGGGTGCTGTTGAAAGATACACAGAGTAAAAAGTAATGTTTTTCAGAACAATGAGTTAAAAGAAGTGGCCAGTATATCTAGACAAATAGGCCATTCCAGAAGTCACAGATGAGCATGGGTGACTGCCACTGCCCACAGTGTGGATAGCACATGTTCCTCTGCATCCAGCTTCCCTTGCAGAAGTGTAGTAGGGCCTTCAGTCCATAAGATGTTCCTCTTGCCCACATCATTCAGATGGCAGCAAAAGCATTAGGAAGAATCCTTAATGCCTTCGTAATGGAGGCTTTGTTTTTCCTTAACATTTTCAGAACTGTTCTCCTTCATCTCTCCCCAACTCGTTTCTTGAATCCACCACCTCAGACTTCCTGCTTGTGGCTTTCTCCATGTGTTGGGGGGGGCTGCTGGCCTGAGATGATAAGTCACAAGAGGGAGACAGACACTCATTCCCTTTGGGGTACACACCCAGTGCCTGTGATGTAGAGTACAGGTAGCACTGCCTGCTGGGCAGAATGCGCTTTCTAGTTGGAAAAAAGCAAAACAAGTAACTTGCTCAGAATGCTGCTGTCAGGATACACTGCTAAAGGGACCACGGCAGCACAAGGAGAGGGTCCAGCTCCATGAGGGGCAAGGGTGGGAAGGGCCTTTACTGCACTGAGGTATTTTAGTGCATTCAACTTCTTTAACTGGTGAAGCAGAGGATGGCTGTGATCCAAGAAGGGGTTTTTCTCTAAGATGACTGGACGGGGGGCGGGGGGCAGTCACTGGTCACAGGTGATGGAATTTAGAGGTTCTCAGGCAAGGAAAGTGTTCTCAGGTAAGCAGAAAGAAAAAAGCTCTTGGTTAAATTATCCTAAATACTCTTCTCTATAAAAAAAGAAAAAAAACTACTTAAATTGAGGATTATCGTGGATCCGATTCACCCTGAGCTTGAGCAATTCACCAATAAAGGTCTAACAACTCAACAAAATCCTTCTCCCCGTCACAGCTGACTAAAATGAGTTCTTACTTTCTCCTGATAATGCAGGGCAAAGGCATCTAGCATTATAGAAAGGTGAGCAGTTATCCTTCTGTTTTGTTGAAACATATCTGGTGCTAAAGAAATCTACTATTTTTAACAACCCCACATGGTGACTTACACCTGTAATCCCAGCAACCAGGGAGGCAGACATTGGGAAGATCGAGATTCTAGGCCAGCCAGGATGACCCAAAAAAAAAAAAAAAAAAAACCCATAGTGAGGCCCCACCTCAACCAACAAGCTGGGCATGTTAGTGCATGCTGTGGTCCCAGTTATGTAGGAAGCTGTAGATAGGAGTTTCATGGTCTGAGGCCAACCCCAAGGAAAAACACGAGACCCTACCTGAAAATAACTTAAGTTGAAAAGAGCTGGGAGTGTGGCTCAAGTGGTAGAGCACCTGCCTAGCAAATGAGAGGTCCTGAGTTCAAACAGTACTGCCAAAAACACGAGAAAAAAAAAAATCCCTATTTTTTTCTTTATAAAAGCTATCCATGTACATTGTAGAAAACTTAGGAAGCACAAAGAATAAAATTAAAATTACCCATAGTCTTGCTATCTAGAGAGCTAGATAACATTATCCTAGTTTGCTTTGCCAAACAAAAACAGGTGAAACCATGTGGTACAGAGACCTTAGGGCTTAGTGCTTACCACTCACTGTGTGAACTTGGGAAAACAATGGTGTTTCTCTCGTGCAGCTCTGGAGTGCTAAGTGTACCCAAATAGCCTGACCCGGATCACGTGCTCAGCAGGTATCAGCCAGCATCTACAGTGAACCTCTCCAGCAGTGTGACTGAGTGTCTTCCCTCAAGGGGACTTTCAACAGATCATGTGAAATGTGTCCTGCTCTGGCTAGCCTGGAATGCAACAGAAAGGTTCCAGACACACCTCCCAGGCTGTGGCAGTGACAACATGGCTTTGTGACTCTGGAACTGGTAGCACTGATGGAGGAGCAGAGAAGCAAGGAGGCAGGTGAAGTAAAACGACTAACGTGCCCACAAGCAGGTAAACTCACAGAGTACAGCTCCTCCCGCAATGGCTAAACTGACCCATTCATTAACTGGTGGTCTCACTCAGGATAGGTGAGTGCAGACAGAACAGACCTACCAGACTCAGCCACTATGCTGCAGGACAATTCAAGAGGTTCAAATCAATGCCTCGGCCTGCTTTAAAGAATCACGAAGTAAGAGGGAGTCTTACGATACAGAATTGTGCACTAGAAAGTGCTCACGTGGAGAAAGCACACATTCCATTTCACAGTTATGCAACAGTCTTAACCTGAAACACATCCCCTCCTCTTAACCTCTGACCAAGAATGGAAACACAGGGTGGTAGACATGTGAACCTATCTGCCTCTGGTTTATACCTTGCCCAAACCATTTGTCAGGCAATTTTCTTAGGAAAAAAGAGGAAAAGAAAGAGAAACATCTTCGGTTATATTGGCCTCACTGACCACCAATGAAAAAAATTTAATATATAAAACTAACAAAAAATTAGCATTGAGTAAACTAAGTGATGTTCAAAAATACTTTTACTCTATCCTAAACACTTTTTTTAAATAATCAGTAAGAAAATCAAAGCCTAAAACTTCACGGTTTTTTAGTATAAAATAACTTAAATCTTTATCAGAGAGTAAAGTAATGGACTAGCTTTTTGTAACACTTAATGTTTTTCTTGAAAAATACTTGAGAGAGAGAGAGAACTTGCTGTCTTAACTAAGTCTAAATCATGATGGTTTAAAACTTGGCAATTCATCTTGTCTCCTCCTATCCTCGTCAGGGAACTCATGCTACAGTTTTCATAAGCATATGTCACATTTTAAGACTAAAAGAAGTGCTCTTCCTTACCTGTCAGCACTCTTAACTAATAAGGAGAAGCTTGTGCTAGTGTTTACTCCACCTTGATTATTCCCAAAGATAAGTGAATGGAAGCAAGTAGTGTCCTACCTTTTGGGCAGGTTACAGAATTCAGGGGTGGCTGATAGAAAAAACCAGTTTTGAAAAGGAGAAGTAGGAAGATAACAGGTGAGTAAAACCATCTGGTGATTTCCTGACAGAGTTGATAAAAAGCCCAAAATGCATAGTCCTGGACAGCAAGAGTAGTGGTAACAAAGGAGCCTAAATTCTCCCAGAATTGAAGGCAAATGCGGCTTTGGCTCCACATGGTGACATCTATATCAGAAACCTGTCCTCCCCAGAGGGAGAGGGAAAGGTAGGGAGGGGATGTCAGGGGACAGTGAGGCTGGGAAGGACATAACAGGGGACAATAATGGGAACACACAGTCCTTTCTCCTGGAGCCAGACCTGTACCATAAAGTCTTCTATTCCCAAAGAAAGAGTTCACTTTCAGTTTATGGGCTCAAGTTGATTCATTCAACAAATACACATCAAAGGCTTCCATGGGTCAGACACAATAGTGAGTAAAGATGGGCCTGGATTCTGCCCTGGGGGTACAGTCTAACAGATGAAACAGACTGCAAGAGAATGTAACTGTCCTGAAATTATGGGTGCCGTGCCATGAAGATGACAAAGGCGTGTCATCAACACAGAGGAGAAAACCACAGACACAGGCAGAGGTGGGGTAGAGGGGCAGTGGCACAGTAGGAAGGTCCTATAGCACAGGGTTCCTGGAATTCAGAGACATGTAGGTGGCCAGTCAGAGGCCCAGAGGGAAGGAGACAGGCCAGGCAGGGGAGAGGCAGGACGGGCTAGTCAGGGAAGGGGTTGGGGGGACACTTCAATCTCTGTCCTGTGAGCAACAGGATGTCATTGGAAGTACCTACACACAGAAAGTGACAAAATAAGGTTTAATTTTAAACTATATCCCAGTCTCCAGAGCGGACAACAGGCACAAGAGTAACAGAGGAGAGGGAAGATATTCTCTAAGGCCACTACAGAAACCTCAGCAAGAAGTAAGTATAGTTCAGGGTAGAAGGTAGTAGCCTGGGGATGAAGAGATGAAGGATGTGAGACAGCCCAGATGAAGCAATGTAAATTGGTGTGAGATGAGCAGAATGAAGAGGTGTAAAGGGTATGGAGATGGACTGGATAATAGGACTTCCTGACAGTAAAGATGCCTGAGAAAGAGGAAGCAACAAGCAATAAGATGACTCAGAAGTTTGATGAATGCATGATCAAACATTTGGATGACTCAAGTTAATGAATGATGGTATTAACTGCCAAGAACTGAGAAAGGGAACCCTGGAAAGAGAGCAGGTTCGGGGGCAAATGGTTACGGAAATACCTTCACTAATGCACTGTGTCCACATATCTTGTGAACCTACAACTCCTTGCATATGCTTTTGTAAAATCTCAACTTCACAAGCTACCAAACATACTTTGCATAGGACAACGCCCAGGTACAAATGAAGGAATGCCAATAAATAGTTGTCATTTTTCACATCCCAGTCCTTATGCCTGAGATATACCCTCTGCTGGGAATACGGGCTCCCAGACCTCCCTCATACTGTGCTCTGACAGCAACTGCCCTGGTGAGGATTCCTGCTCCCTCACCGCATACATGTCTGTCTTTAGTACAGTCAGCACTTAGCACACCCTGAAGTTCTATTTCACACCAGTTTGTTTGTGGGATTCGTGGAGACGGAGACTTTCATCTGCTCTGTGCTTCTCTCGTATCTAGTTCAATGCCTGCAAATATTTCGATAAATACATGAGATAAGCACATATCTTTAGATATCAGTTTTAGAACCATTATGAACGCCAGTTCAGGAGCTGATGTAAATGTTCTCATTCCAACCAGTTCATACAAAGCCCCTTTCCTTGAACTATAGTAGTCCCTACCATTCAGATCATGTAACTTCATACTTAACTGCTGCCTAATTCATTTAATCAAAATATTTTACTGTCTATTATGTGTAAGGCATTGTGTAGGGTGCAAGAAATATATATCGTGTGTGGTATACAATATAACATAATATAGTATTCTGGCATATATACACATAAATTTTGATGAACATGTTGACCTACATATAAA